TTTCAACCGAGTCTTTGAAAGATATTGTAGAGAAATCTATAACAGTGTTATACCTCCAATTGAGGTATTGTACACGATTTTTCATCAATAAGTATTATAATCATTGCCGCAAAAGATTATATGATGCACTACTCGTCAAAATAAACAGTGACTCATGTCTATTATATGTTTTTGCATGAATTCCACCATGAGCTTAACCATGGTTAATTTTTCACTACTTGCATTCTTAATTAGTTTGGCGATTCTTAACTAGATATTGGTGATTTCCTCTTTCAGCTTGTAAATAACACAAAATTACTCTTTACACTAGAACAGAAAACTAGTTTTTTTTTTGAACATCTGATTTTCCATTGATCTTGTAAGAGTTGTACATAAAACTAGTTATTTCAATCAAATTATTATTATGCCAAATATAAGAATTTGATATGCCAAAAATTTCTCAACTTAATTTTTCTATAATCAACTCTATTCATGAAAAACTGAATCAAATGAACTAGACATTATATAACGTGAACACATATCACATATTTTCTAAAGTTTTTCATTATAATTTTGTATGCATAAGTGATTTCTTATGATTCTATGTATTATTATTTGCAGTCCATATTTTTTTCTCTTCTAATTGATTAGGTAAAAATGATATCAATTTTATTTTGGAAATTATTTTATAATGTAAGTAATTATCAAATAATAATATAACTTGATTTAAAAATATTTTATATTTTATTTATTTTAAAACAATTTCAAATGCAAAAAGTTAGTTTTCAAACTTTTGAAAACATAGGTTAGTTTTCAAAATAAACAAAAAAATTGTAATATTTTTACAAATTTCCTCTAAGAAAAACAAAAAGTATAATAAGTTTGTTGTTTTTAACCTATATACAAACACAATCTTCCATAATTTTGTTGTTTTAACCTATAAAAGTACTAAATATATCCGTACATTTTCAAACTATTTAATATTATATAAAAAACAATTTTTCATCGCATTTCTAAAACGAAATCGAACATTTTCGTCGTATTTCCAATTTGAGATTCTTAGGAAATGAGTTTCCGTCGCGTTTTCAAAACAAAATTAAAAATTTTATCGAGTTTCCAAATTAAAATATTTTAGAAAACGCGTTTCCAAATTAAAAGTTATTAGAAAACGTGTTTCATAGAGTTTCGGTTTCCAAAAAGTTTCTGAAACGAAAAACGCTTTTCGAACAGAATTTCCTTGCAACCTAGGTCTTCTCGTTTTTGTCAATAATAAATTAATTTAATTGAGTTTTCGTTGAATCTTTACAAATATTTACTCGGCAATTATCAACCACAAATTTTTAGCAAAAAATCGAATTATCAACCACAAATCTTGTTTTGAGTTTGATCGATATATTTACTAGTGATACTTTACTTTAAACCTGGAAGTTACACGTGAGATGCAGAAAGACGCACTCAAGTTACACAAGCATCCCAACATTCACATTATGATTACTTTTTTTGAATCTTCAAACAAAAAATAAAAATTATAAATTTGTTCTTTGCCTATAAATTTCTTCACAAAAACTATATCACATGTTCCAAATATAGCCTTTCGAAAGAGAGAGAACC